CCCGATTCTGTGCACTTGATAAATTGAAAATCTTTATAGTTCGTCAATTTTTTATTATTTATCAAGAATTGGTATTCTAGCACAGAAATCAGAAGCACTTTTCTTGATAAATTATCAAGATTGAAAACGCTATTGGCAAATTGAAATTTCATGTGAAATGTATAAATTTTGTATATTAATAAATTTGTTTCTAACAATTAATACTCCATGTGCCGTCATTTGAACCTGCGACACACGGAATTATAGTCGACATCTCTACCTACTCGGCTACGGCAGTCAATAGAATAGCTTTTTTTCTTTTAAATTCATATTTTTCATATGCCAGCGTTGCCAGGTTGACATTTATAACGTCATTTGGACGTTTTTTGTATCCTGTTGACGTTTTTTGTGTATAAAACGACGTTTTTTTACTTCGCATTAAATTTTCTCTATGCACTATATATTCAATGTATAGCGTACTATTTGTAAGTACCTACGCTCACATTTTCGGCAAATTTGTTATTAAATATTGTAAGTAGAACTGATTTTGAATTATTTTCTTAATAAATCTTTACAAGCTTTGTTTTTTGCAGCAGGTGCTTCAACAGATATTTAACAGTTATTGGACGTTATTTTCACGATATGCCTTTGCACTAATGCATTTGAGAACATACCCACACTTTGATCATTACCTCTTATCTGATGAAATACCAGGTAACATCTTTGATGGTACTGCATCTGGATCGAGGCGTCTTCTCTTGGCATTAATACTTGCATAAATGATATCATTCGATTTGAAGTGCAGAGCGCAAGCTTTCGATGATCCAGTTAGTTTAACACCACACGCATTCATCCAATCCCTTCCTCGCTCGATTTGGTGAATACCACTAATGAATTTTAAATGTGCCCTGTCGAAATGACATTTTAATATACCTTACGTACATATTGTCGTCTCAGAAAACGGATGTCGAATGTTACAAAACACGGTTTTGAGAAAATTGACATTGAAGTTTAAGGTCGAATTAATCCGAAACTGTACGGTAGATTTTTGTAATTTTTGAAGGAGACGTAAGTGGTGTTATTAGTTTAGTTTTTCCATATTTTTACATTTAATATCTCTTAACGATAATGAGAAAATTGACTTTTCATTCCGTATACATTTGCGTAAGTAGCGTTTGTTTTGTCCATAGAACGTACGACAATACTTAAGTATCTATTTCAACGACGATGGTATAATTTGATGAAAAAACCAGACACATTTATTAAATAATAATTACTTATTAGAAAAAACATAACAAAAACATATTCACGTACTTAACAAAAAAATCTGTACATCTCTTATGCTGTAAATATGTTACGAACATACGTTTTCTTTACATAAAAACAAAAAACAATACTTAAATTCAGTCTTTTGTACCGTTTTATTTCTTTCATTTCATTGGAGTCTCAGTGCAAGCTAGAATTTAAAAATTTTAAATTTAAAAATTAGTTACTTAGTTTAATTTCCAATTTTAATTGTATCGTTATAGTAGAGGACCATCGAATTGTCGTAAGTTCAAAGTCTTGCGATACATACGACAAATGTTTTATGATTAAAAAAAGATTACATATGCATGGGAATTTGTCGTATGTGCTACATACAACAAATGTTTTATGATTTAAAAAAAAGTACTTTTGTATGGGAATTTGTCGTATGTGACGCATTTTCAGCACATACAACAAAAGGCATACCCAATCATTAATATTATGCAACATACGACAAAATGCGCACGAAATATCTCAAAAACTAAGGGAGATATAAAAAAATGGATTGCAGAAATCAAAAGAGCATATCCAACTTAGTAAATCTGCATCAAAATCCCAAAATCGTGATTTTGCACATTCGTCATCCGTTTTCTGCGGCGACGATATGTACCTTTGGGTACAATAAAAGTTTAATAAGAACAATACTGTAGGAAATGACGTTTTTTTCAGACCAAGTATGTGACAATGGGCCTGAGCACACTAGCCTGCTCAGTCGGACTGAGCAGTCCACCACTCAAACGCTCACTGGACTGGGCAGTCGGCCGAAAACTGGTTTCAGTTTTGTATACATGAACTACACAGTAGGTGTGTACTCGTATTGAGAGGACAAAATTCTCCAGCAGCAAAAGTGAGAATTTAGCAGCATTCGCTCTCAAAGAGACGAAATATCAACAAAAGTACGAGAACGCAAAATTTGCAAAAACTTGCAACCTTCGAAACAGCTGATCACTTGCATAGTTGCCACTGGTGATTAATTTGGCAATTTATTTTCTGCTTGGTGCATTTTCCTCCGATTTGGCATTTTATACATTTGAATAGTTTTGGATAAGAAAAACCATTTTAAAATACGATGTAATTATATCGGAATGAATAAGTTATTTTTCTTATAATTATATGTGATATAACATGGTGACGCATTAAAAACAATAGTATCTCCTCCAAACACCCATCATTGATCCAAAAAAATGTAATAGAGTAGGTTTAAAATTATAAAATTTTCATTTCAACAATCAACCCACCAAAACCGAAAACTTCAGCAAAACAACATTTCAGCATGCTGCATTTAAATCTATTTTGGTATATTTAAAGGTAAATTATTTTACAAACGAAAAATTTCATACGGCAACCATACGGCATACAAACTGGAGATTAATAGCAAATTAACGAAAAATAAACTCAATGAATGTTGTGCTTATTAAATTTACGCACTTTTTAGTTGTATACTAGCATTAATAATAAAAATTGCAATAATAACTCAAAAAGGCCATATTTTCTTTTGTTTATTTACAAACATGTGTTTGTGATCAGCTGATTTTCTTACTTGCAAGTTTTAGCTGGGAAAATTTTTCCAGCAGAAATTTGCAAATCTCTTTCACATTTTGCTCTCTTAATTTCCCCTACTTTGCAAGTTTTTTGGGTACGAGAACGCAAAACCAGTAAAAGTTTTCTAAAACTTTAGATAGTTGGGCGTACGAGTACACACCTAGTGTTACTTCTTTAACATTTCTTTGCCTAATAATATAGTTGATTTAATTTATTTTTTTTCTCAGTATACACATTTTGTTTTCTCAAAAAGGTATTATATCTTATTTTATTTCATTTCATTGCGAATATACTATAAAAAAGCAAATTTTGTTTAGAAGAAAATATGAAATTTTATATTTTTCCACCAAATGGGGATTCATTTCTTCCCGTTTTTCTTCTTATTCTACTGAGCTAAGGCAGTGTCAAATCGAGCTGTCACAACTGATACCACCTTGTATTATTGCATCATGGTGTTAAGCGAAGCGCACATTGGCGCGATTCTGTCGTTGCGAATACGTTGCGAATTCGGCTGTTAACTTCGAATCCGCAAACGTGCGCACACTTGAGCGATTTTTTCGCGTCGATTTCCGATGTACAATTCACTACATTTTCCCTTTATTTCGTGTATTTTCGCACTCGGCGTGCCCAAATCGTACAAAATACTATTATTACGAACGTTTTTATTAGTTTTTGTATATTACACGTTTTTTTTTCTTTGCCTTTATTGCTGTGACACCTTTCTTCTTCTTCTTTGACGCCTTCAAAACGCTGCAAGCCGCGTTTCGAACGCGTCAATAGAGAACATTGAATGTTCGAAAAAATTCGCAGCGACGGAATCGTGCAAGTCTGCGCTAGCGCATTAAAATGTATGGGTAGCATTGTTGTAATTTTTGGGCTTGCGGATTCGCAACGACAGAATCGCGCCAATGTGCGCTTCGCTTTAGTGCATGTGGAACATGCAAACAAAACGAAATAGAAAACATGTTGTCTATGTGTGCGCGCCAGTCCACCATCAATCCGCGATTTTCGCGGACTGAAATGAGCGAGGTAAACTCGAACTCTCTTCCCCCTCTTAGCAACACAAAACCGGTTTTGGGCGGACAGAGCAGTCCAGTGCGCGGAGGCCCAATGAAATCAGTTCCACTAATGTGGAAATCGTAGAGCTTTTTGTTTTATAAATATAAGGTTCTTTCCCTAACAATCCGGACCGGATCCGGTAATTAGAGAATAAGCGAAAAGTTTGCTCTCAAAAATGGAACATAATCCAGAAGTACGGGAACGCAAAAAACACATTTCGTGCCCAGAATTTATGAGACAGCTAGTGATGTGCTGAATTTTCGGTACCCAGTAATTAAAAAAGTTTTCGGTACCCAATACCTTCTTTTTCGGTACCCGATACCGATTCTTTACATTAAACCTTCGCCATTATATGCATTTCAAGTTTAGAAGAAACTTTAATTATTATTAAATATTAAATATTATTTTAAGTTTTAAACTTAGTTGATCCAAGGTTCAAGAAAAATGCTTTTACGGATGAAGAAGCCTTTCAGGGGGGGAGATTCTGTAACCAGTTAGCGACAAGTTTCGACTTATAACAAGTATCGACAAGTAACACTTATGGTCCGATTATGCACACTTCACATAACTTCGCATAAACTTCTTATTGCAATTTCGTATGTACTTCGCACGTATTTTGTTTGTATTCCATTACCCAGAAATTAGCAGAACATTCAAAAACTTAGAAATCTGTTGAGTTTAGATTTTGCTTCACGTTTTCTTAAGTTGCATTTTTATTGCACTGGTACAAAAGGTAGTGCGAAGTTATGCGAAGTATGTATAATCAGACCTTTACGATCCAATACGTTCTAATTTTCGCTCTCTATTACCCATTTTGTTGAGTACGGGAATGATTTCTGGGCTATTTTAGGCACCCGGAATGCCGCGTTGCGTACGGGAAAGAACCTATTTTTGTTTTAACAAAAGAATGGCGTTTTTGTAAACCATTTGATGGTTTTATTAAGTGTACTAATAAACATGTTTTTACTTTGCGTTTGTACTGCTCCGTACTTGCTCCTTTGGTGAGCAGCTAACTTTCAGTCCCGATGAAGAGTTCATACCAACGATAAATGTTGTTTTTGTACGAATGCTACAACCGTAGTTATTGAATCATGGTAATGAAGTATAGTACTTACATTTCTTGCTTTGTTTTTCAACTTCTCCCTTCAGCTTTTGGTATTTTTCCGTCCTATACACTAGCACCCAAGTGAGACCTACAAATTAAAGAAAATATAGTTATGTATATATTGAAAACACTTTTTATTTCCCAACCTTCTCCCAATAGCGCCGTGCAAATGGAAATAAAAACAATTAAAATAGTATCGCTCCACATATTTAGAATATTAATAGGTCCAAAATTTTCAATACTAAAAAAATTAAGATAGGAAGATTAGGAATGCATAGTAGAGTTGGGAAAAACATCGATCTTAACATCGATATATCGATGTTTTGAAAAATTCAAAAACATCGATGTTTTGTTTCAAAATCGATTTCTTACCTTCTTACCGTTTCTAATACCATACATGTTTCCACTAGGGATGTTGCGAATGTGGAATTTTAGACATCCGCGGATGCGAATGCGGATGCGAATATCTAACGGCTAACATCCGCGGATGCGGATGCGAATGCGGATGTCAAGTATTTTTAAGAAACAATAAGAATCCAGCATAATGGCGAGATCGTTGTTAAACAGCGCTTACAAGCCAAACCAGAAGTGTCAGGTTTTTCTAAAGCGTTTTAAAAAAATTCTTCATCTGTAACTTCATAGGCGTCTTTCGTTTAAGTTCTTGAAATTCATTTTTAATACTTTCTTCTGCGACTGGTTTGAAAAATGTGTGCTTATAGCAAGCTAAATAGGTGGATATGAAAATAAATTATTATTCCCCAGGAAAGAAAATTTTGAAAAAAAATTATGTCTCAAAGTTGTGGCTGCCAGCCGAATCGGATCAGAATATTGTTATTTTTTTTTTAAAAAAGCCCCCCGGTGTTTATAAGTATTTGAATCTCGGATAGTTACGTAATTGTGTTCTTATTAAACGTTAGAACTATACTTTTTTAATTATTAAATAATCGATTCTCCTTATAGCCAGACATTGATCATTTCTGCTGGAAATCTCTACTGACGGAGCTTACTATTTCACTTTAAATAGCAAAGAAGGACAGTTTTACCACAGAAGATTTTAGCCAAGGATCCAATGTAAAGTAAAAAAAATTATTGCTTTTAAAATTTTGCCTAAAAATAAATTCCGTAAAGAGCCCCATTTGAAATTATTGAAACGAGTATGTGTAACATCAAAAGCACATCACGAAAATTTGGTTAAGAATAACAGTGCACACTTTCTTCTTTTGTGTCTAGTAGTTTTTTAAGATTGGTCCAAAAAATTATAATAGAGAAAGGAACCAATGCAGGTATTTATAGCACAGAAAACAAAAAATTTTTAAAAAGACTATGTCAAAGGTCAAGTAGAAGTGGAACTTGTATGAGTGCCTATTGATAGCTAGGTTATATAGCTGAAATAGGCTTTGTTTCTTTTCTTTTCTAGCAGATAATTATCAGGAAGAAGAATGGGAAAATTGAAGGAATTTAGCTCATAGAGAGCGAAATAACGAACAAGTAAAGAAACACAAAACTAGCAGAAATTAGCAAGTAATCAGCTGATCAGTGTGTTTGGCTACTGCTAGTTTCTGCTATTTTTTTGGGTAAAAAACGCTGTCCAGCAGAAATTAGTGATAATTTGTGATAATTATCTGTTAAGAAACAAAGCTAATATGTTTAAAGACATTTTTATCAAAGTTGATAAATATTACATTTGACCAGTTTTGTTACACAAATATTCCCACGGCCACAGGCAAAAATATTGGCTGCAATTTGTCATTATGATTACCATATATACGTTTTATTGGTGCACTTGCACAACATTCGCATTCGTAAAAGCTCCGCATTGACTATTGCGATCGCGAATGCGAATGTTAAAATTAATGCGGAAGCTCCGCGGTTGCGAATGCGAATATTCGCAACAACCCTGGTTTCCACACCACATTCGTGATTGACTTTGCATCTCTACTTCTTGTTCTTTGCTTTTGTTTATTGTTTAATGTGTTCATTATTGTGCATTTCAACGGTGGAGAAAAAAATTTGGAGTGGCAGATAAACAGGTGACACGCGAAATAGTGCGCTGCCAGAAATAAGACGTCGAAAATGGTTGACGAAAACAGTTCGTTTTTGCATAGATAGATAAGTGTCGCGATTTTCGTATTTTGCAGAAATTTATATGTTATAAGAGAAAAAAGTAAAAAAAGAGAAGTTAAATATTAAAATTGGTGCAAGGATGATATTTTAAGCAAATGAATTATTTTGCAATGATGTTTTTTCACCAAGAAAATGCTAAAAGCAAAAAACAAGTGTGTTCGAGTTTTCAACTTCCCAAATCAGGAGAAGGGCCAAGCCAGGTTGGTGATAACAATGTATTTTGCATACCTCAATGGTGGTGTGAAAACTGCGAAATTTCCAAGTTTAGTTTAAAAATACCCAATTTAGGTTTCCGCCTGTGTGGCATCACTAGCTATGGTTATAAAAAATACACACTTTGACAGCGCTCTCACGACAAAAAGAGTTTCATATCTAGTTATCCATGTCTAAATCATGATTCAATAATAAAAGGTTTGCTCAGAAAACAGTTTTCCCGCTCCCTCTTGACAAAATCGGCTCCCTTAGCAAGGCACTGTGTGTGGGTTCGTATGTGTGTGCAAAAATTTTGTGATGCGGCGTTTTTGCTGCATTTAAAATGCAACATTTAGCACTTTCGAACATATTTTTTTGAAGAGCGTTCATTCCATTGCATTTAGCAAATATACATTTACGCGAGTTCGAAATCGTTGATCCGTTGGTGCGTTGACATCCTACATGGCTCGTGATACGCCCGATCGCAGGGTCGCTCTATAGGCGGCATCTTTTTTCTCTGCAGCTTCTTGACACTCCTCATCATACCAGTTGTCCTTCCGGGTTCACTGAAATCCGACTACTTCTTCGGCGCCGTTACTTAATGAACGGGAAATGTGGTTCCACTGCTCGCATATGTCGGATTGTTGAAGTGTGGCCTCCGGGAGCAGGAGTGGGAGTCGAGTAGAGAATGTATTGGCCGTCTGTTGTGATTGCATTTTTGGGCGCACATTTTTTGCTGCACAGAGGCGTGTGCGCATCTTGGTTGTATCAAGATATTGGCCCGAGTCGATGTTTGGACCTGGGAGTGTACGTATGTCCAAAAACACTGGAGGCATGCCTTCCGCCTATCACAACATGATCGATTAGGCTTCTCGTTTTTCGATCTGGAGACAGCCACGTAGCTGATGGATCCTTTTGTGCTTGAACCTAGTACTGCACACTACCATGTTTCGGGCCCCGGTGAAGCCGATCAGCCTTAGTCCGTTGTCGGACGTTTCGTCGTGGTGGCTGAATCTTCCGATGGTGGATCCAAAGGTCCCTTCCTTCGCCACCCTGGCATTGAAATCGCCAAGCACGATTTTGATAACATGGCGCGGCAGCGCTCGTATGTGAGCTCCAAGCGCTCATAGAAAAGATCCTTGGACGCCTCGTGCTTCTCTTCCGTCGGGGCGTGGGCGCAGATTAGCGAGATGTTGAAGAATATCCCTTTGATGCGGATTGTGTCTAGACGCTCGTCCACCGGGGTGAACGACAGTACTCGGCGACGGAGTCTCTCTCCCAGCACAAATCTAACATCGAATTTGCGCTAAATTACATGGCAGCTGTAGTAGACGTCGCAAGGCGTCAGATATTTTTTGCCTTGCCCCGTTCAACGCATTTCTTGAATGGCAGTGATGTCAGCTTTTGTCCTTACGAGGACACCAACCAGCCGCGCGGGGGCACCTTCTCATTAGCCGGTCAGAGGCACCTTCCCCATTAAGGGTCCGGACATTCCAGGTGCATGCCCTCAAATCGTAGTCCTTTAAACGTTTGCCGTGGTCGTCATCAAAAGGGGGGTTCTCATCCTCAGCTTTGTTTTTCTTTTTCATTGGAGCCTGATTTTACGTGGCGGGTCCCAAACCCAGCGCACAACCCATTGCTGGGGCAGGGTGGTTTCGCAACAGAATACAGGTTTATACAGCGAGCTGTTTGCTCCAAGACAGACACCCGTTTGCAGCCGCACCTACTGGTAAACAGACTCCGCAGACTTCAGTTAGCCCTTAAACCGAATAAGTCGGAGTGGCCCCACTGAAGCTCCCTCTCTTTCTACCGTGACCCAAGGCTCCACTCGGTTTTGGTTACAACATCTTGCACATGGGTTGCTCACGTTGTCCAGAGTGCGCGAACGAGGACGCAAGAGTCGGGATTGAGTATAGCCGTGCAACTGTAACTGCATACCCCGCACAACGACTGTACCCCATTGCACTCCAAGGAAATTAGAAAATTTAAATATGTATGACCTGTGGGTGCCAGGCGAAGAAGGTTGTGGTTTAAAAATATTTGAAGAGGGTTGCCACCTGTTTACAAATTAAACTAAATTTTAATTGAGGGAATTATTGAATTTAATTATGTATCACAATGCGGGTGTCAGACTAACTCTGGTATTCAGAAAGTTGTCTCTAGTCACTAATAGGGACTTTAGGTGGTGCACATGGATTTTGAGACTATTTGGTATTCAGTAAGCTGTCTCACGTCTCACGTTGAATTCAACTTGACTTAATGGAATTTGATAATTTAAATATGTGTGTCATGCGAAAGATGTTTAAAAAGGTTTTGGTTTAAAATATTGCGGCGAATACTGCGGCAACTCGAAGCGAACAATGAGAAATAGGCAGAATTTTCGAGGAATGACGTAGAATGTTCTACAAAGAGAAACGTAAAGTTGGATGAACACTGCGAACAGCGAGAGAAAGAGAATGAGCGATGAACTTCAGAACATTCTAGAGTTGCCATGAGTGCGAGCGCAGGTATATAAGAGCAACGACACAGCGGAGTTGGAGAGTTACAAGTCAGCAAGCTACAAGTAAAGTGAGTTGCGAATAAGCAAGTTTAATTGTGTTAACAAGTTTTGTAAAGCATTTTAATTGCTTTAACGAGTATTGTAAAGTGTTTTTACTGTATTAGCGAGTATTATAAATTGTGTAAATTTGGTCATCGTGAGCATTTATTTAACAATCCAGCGATACGAGCCGGAGTATATTTGGGAAATCCCTCAAGGTTTCGAGGATAATCGTAACAATATTTCAAACAGGGCTGCCAACTCTTTGAAAAGCCAAATTTAAAGTATGCACAAGTTATATGAAATTTATATACATATACGGCGTCAAACGGAGTTGTAAGATATCCTTAGTTTGAACATTCAGGATATTAAAGAGCGTCGCCACCTGTTTATAAAGGTAAAACCAAATTATTTTATAAGTTAAAGGAATTATTAAGAG